GGCTCGCCCGTTTCTTGTTGTCACAGCACGTCACACCCAATTCATCTACTGGAAAAAGTCCTGCTGAGTTGCTCATGAATCGGCGACTCACCACGGCCCTGGATCATCTGCACCCTGACCATGATGGTGATATGCTTCGCAGACAGGAGCTTAATGCTGAAAAATGCCCTGGCACAATCAGAGAGTTTAGACCTAAGGACTTGGTGTACATGAGAAGCTACACCAGAGATTCTAAGTGGATGCCTGGAATCATTGTAGATGTCACAGGTCCCCTGTCATACAAGGTCAGAGCTAGTGATGGGCAAATGCACAGGCGACATGTTGACCAGCTGCTGGACAGGACGGCACCCTTGTCCGACCAATCAAGGCCTGAGCCAGGTGGCTACACTGTCCATCCGCCTGAGTCCCCAGGGGCTGAGATGCTTGAGTTACAGCCGCCTGCATTAGATGTGGAAGACCCTGATGTTGACCTTACTGGAGCTGGAGCTGAGGGCATGTCTGAGTCCCCTCATTCTCGGAGGTACCCTGTAAGAGAGCATCACCCTCCAAGAAGGTTTTCAGACTTTGTGGACTGGGGAAAAGGGGTGTAATGTATTGACTGCCTATTGTAAGAGTGAGGTTCCTTTAAGAGGCTAAAAGCCTGGGGAGGGCGTGGCTGTTCTGGGGTGGAGATATGTGTTTTCGGGCAGTGTGTTTCCGGGAGTTGATCAAGCTAGATGTGTGGTCTATGTTATATGCTGCCTTGAGTTCAGTAAAGATTTACAAGATTACGAACGTCTTCTCTTGTTCTTCAAAGATAAAACACACTACACTGTAAAAAACAATAAATAAAGAGCAAGTCTACAGAACACACCTGGCCACTTTATGCGTTTTCTGTGATGGGATAGCTATCTGATCGTGAAAAGGCCAGGTGTAAATGCCCTCCGAAACGCATTTGAGACGGGTTTGAATCCGCTCGCTCACACCACATCAGGAGGAGGCCTGAGCCGCATTCCTGACAAAACTGGACAAGTGTAAATGCATCTCGTTGTTGAAACCACATAAGTAAAATTTACTCCTCCCAAAAATGCTAAAAAAAGAGAACGTGTTACAGGCTACATGTCATGTTATGGCCAGATATGACGACGCGCGCAGCAGCAACACGTCACCGCAGATGAGCAGCTCTTCATCAAGCCAACGCGCAAACTATCCGAAACTATGCACATCAGAGTGAGAGTGAGTCGCAGACCCTTTACACACAATTATCTTCATTAAAAGTAAATAAACGAAATGATCTTAACAGGGCTGTTGCCGTTCTCTCTTACTGCGTTATTTGATTTTGACATTTTAGCTGATGATCGTAAAATGCAGATCATAACTGTTGCTTTCGGTGACGTGCACTCCATTAAATCTGCATATAGCGCGGGAATTGAAGATCGGATTTATATCCGTTTAGCAAAAACACATTTATGTGACCACTGACCAGGTGTAAAAGGAATATCGTTTTGATAAATCAGATAGGTATCCGATCAGTGAAAACGCATGAAGTTGCCAGGTGGCCGCTGATTGTGCGCTGGTGTGTGCGTCGAGCCGGCAAGTGTGTGTGTGTGTGGGGACTGTGTGGTAGTAGAGCAAGGGAGAAGTGAGAGAGTGACGGCGATGAGCTTTGGAGCGAGTAGCGACTCAGTCATATTGAGAAAAACATCTCCCCTGTTCTTTCTGACCACTGTGGGAAATCTGTAGCATGAAAAGTTAACCCTCTCCTTGATTTCATGTTGTTTATGGAGAAGGAGAATCAGGAAATGAGTCGGGGGAAATGCAACGGTGCATCTCGGACCGGACGCATCATAAACAAAATATCGCATAAATATCGCGAGATTTTCGATATTGATATCGAGCAACGTGATATCGCGATAACGATATTGATTCGATATATCGTGCACCCCTATATATATATATAAATTTAATGCAAGCATAACATTATAAATATAATATAGCCATTGCTGCTGATATGGCGCTAAATCATACATAAATATAGATTGTGTTGCATTTTAAAATCTGTTCACTTTGGACCTGCAGATCTGAGATACTATTCTGAGATTATTTGTATTCACACAATGCAAGTCAGACCAATGTGGCCAGGTGAAAAAGACGTACTATTATGTACTTGAGTATGTTTTTTTAGTACAACACAAATATACTTTAATGCATTTTTTAAAATACATTTTACTGTACATCTTTTTCACCTAGGATGAGCAATAATTCATTATTTGGTCAACTGTTCTTTAAGGACACTTTTACAGCAGTATTTTTGGTTTGACATCACAGAAAAGGGTTGAAATAATTTAAGTATGCAGAACAATTTTTGTCTGTAGTGACAATATTCTGTTTGTAGTTTATACATTTTTCAAAATGTTTCAAATGGACAGACACATTTGTTTATTTTTTATCAAGCATATATTCCTGTTTTTTTTGTGGGTTTTTTTGAGAAGATAAGAAATTTGGGGGCTCAGATTGTTCAGATTTTTTTTTTTAATGAGAATCATATATTTCCACCCATCATTATGCATGAAACTGTTATTCATATTATGATTTTTATTTTGGGACAAAAAATACCTTATTCTACAGCCTGACCAACAGTTTGTCAATTTAAATAATGGGTGTAGAATGTGAAATTGCCCCAGTTTTACATGAGGATGCATGTCTTACCTGTATCCTTTTCATTTTTCTTTTCCAGCAATTTCAGCATTGGACTTGTTTCCATCCTTTTTGGTCGCCTCTCCCGCACTTGCTGTTTGGAAGTCATTGCTTGCATCTGATTCAGCAACTGTCATTCTGCATATCTGTTTTCATTCGCTTTGCTTATATTTTGAACCCTTTGCAATAATACAATTTTCTATTTGGGCTATAGTTGTACATTCAAGTTTGTTTTTTCTTGATTGAATGTGTTTGTGTGGATATTTGTTATGCAACAATTATTTATTTCACAGTACTTCATAAATGGAAGTATGCAAAGATTCTGAATGTAAAAACACATTAACATTGTCATATATATACACTCACCGGCCACTTTATTAGGCACCCCATGCTAGTAACGGGTTGGACCCCCTTTTGCCTTCAGAACTGCCTCAATTCTTCGTGGCATAGATTCAACAAGGTGCTGGAAGCATTCCTGAGGGAGTTTGGTCCATATTGACATGATGGCATCACACAGTTGCCGCAGATTTGTCGGCTGCACATCCATGATGCGAATCTCCCGTTCCACCACATCCCAAAGATGCTCTATTGGGTTGAGATCTGGTGACTGTGGAGGCCATTTTAGTACAGTGAACTCATTGTCATGTTCAAGAAACCAATTTGAAATGATTAGAGCTTTGTGACATGGTGGAAGTAGCCATCAGAGGATGGGTACATGGTGGCCATAAAGGGATGGACATGGTCAGAAACAATGCTCAGGTAGGCCGTGGCATTTAAACGATGCCCAATTGGCACTAAGGGGCCTAAAGTGTGCCAGGAAAACATCCCCCACACCATTACACCACCACCACCAGCCTGCACAGTGGTAACAAGGCATGATGGTTCCATGTTCTCATTCTGTTTACGCCAAATTCTGACTCTAACATCTGAATGTCTCAACAGAAATCGAGACTCATCAGACCAGGCAACATTTTTCCAGTCTTCAACTGTTCAATTTTGGTGAGCTCTTGCAAATTGTAGCCTCTTTTTCCTATTTGTAGTGGAGATGAGTGGTACCCGGTGGAGTCTTCTGCTGTTGTAGCCCATCCGCCTCAAGGTTGTGCGTGTTGTGGCTTCACAAATGCTTTGCTGCATACCTCGGTTGTAACGAGTGGTTATTTCAGTCACTGTTGCCCTTCTATCAGCTCGAACCAGTCGGCCCATTCTCCTCTGACCTCTGGCATCAACAAGGCATTTCCGCCCACAGAACTGCCGCTCACTGGATGTTTTTTCTTTTTCGGACCATTCTCTGTAAACCCTAGAGATGGTTGTGCGTGAAAATCCCAGTAGATTAGCAGTTTCTGAAATACTCAGACCAGCCCTTCTGGCACCAACAATCATGCCACGTTCAAAGTCACTCAAATCAACTTTCTTCCCCATACTGATGCTCGGTTTGAACTGCAGGAGATTGTCTTGACCATGTCTACATGCCTAAATGCACTGAGTTGCCGCCATGTGATTGGCTGCTTAGAAATTAAGTGTTAACGAGCAGTTGGACAGGTGTACCTAATAAAGTGGCCAGTGAGTGTATATTTAAATCAGTTAATCTGTAACTGCACAATGGTGGATACTTCCACTATTGCCTGAATATGTGTGCACTGTGATTTAGATTATGCAACACATTAAATTGAGTAATTAAAAGTCATAGTAATGGTGGTGGAAATTATTTAATGAAAACAATTACAATGTATCATCTTTTTATTCATTTTTAATAGTGAAATCAGGTTTAGTTGGATCATTGTAATACAGTCAGTAAAGGATCAATATAAGGCCATGTTTTACAGAATATTGAGTAGTTTCTAAACCAATCTTAAGAATGTTCCATATAACATTTTTTATTAGTAAAACCATTTCCACAAATAGCAATGTTTTCCTTATATTGTTACTATGGTTTATTTGCACTAAAACCATAGTAATGTCAAAATGCAAAAAACAAAACATTTCTCCATAAGTGGACGTCCCTGGAATGTCCTCCAGCCAACGTTATAAACCGGACCAAATGCGGACCTAAGTAGACGTTCGCAACGTCCGGGGGACGTCCCCTGTTTGCTGGGAGCCTAGTCTCACTTCTGCTGAATATTGATCATCTTAAAGCTTGACTCGTGAAATAAAAACCACAACTTTGATTTGAATGTCCTTGAAAAAGCGAGAAGTATTTTATTTGTTGTGAAGCACATAAAACACAACTTGGATAAAATTAATGATTAGTGTAGTTGTTGATGACTCGACAGCGCCACACTGTGGACGCGCAGCTTCTGAGACTACGACACTTCCGCTCAGTTACC